CACACACACACACACACACACTCACACACAAGAACATACACAAACACACACACACGCACATTTTAAAAAAATCCATTCCACCTCTAAGACTTTTAATTCATTCTTTTTCGGGGTACTTCCCCCCCCCCCGCTTTAAACAGAAACTAGTTGCACAGATGAAGCAAAATCCACAGGTAAATGCAGATGGCTGTATTTTTTTCTTAAATTAAAAGAAAAGTCCTGGTTCCACCGGATTTTCGTTGTGTTGCAATAAGTGCTCTGACCTCAGGAGGAGAAACTTTATCAATAGGAGATCCCTTTGAAGTCCGGGCTGATCTTTGTTACTTTATCTCCATCTCTCTCTCTCTCTCTCTCCCCCCCCCCCCTTCTCCTTCATTGTGCCTGTTTTTTCTTGAGCTTTCGGTCGGAGCCATTCCTAGACACAAGTTTACTTTTAACTAGCTTTAGTTTGCACTTGGTTTTTAATCTGCATTTTATTGCCATTTTTTCAGAACGGGGATCTTAAGAAACAAATCCAAGAGAGGCAATCGAGAATAGCAGCTCTTAATGAAAAACAAGTAAGAACAAATCAATTCGGTTCTTTTTTTTTCTTCTTCTCTGCACTGAGCTTCTTCTGTTCTCCTCTTCCTTGGCTTCCCTTCTTTTCTTCTTTTTCTCCTGCTATTAATAGTACACTTTCTAAACATCTGAAAAGTCCGCGTTGGCTGAGAAATACTTCCATGTGAATAAAATACCCGGTGTTTATTTTTATTTTATTGTTTTTGTTTCTTGATTTGTTTCTCGGGGTGCTTGTGTGTTTAACTTTCGGTTGGCTAAAGTGAGAAACGATGTAAAGGTCGGGGTTTATTCTGCTTTGCTTTGCCTTGAAATGTCTTTATACGGATAATTCATTATAGAGGAAAAAGAACGAAGCTGTGGTTGGAACCGTTTTATTTTAACACTCACCCTCGCTCTCATACACACACACACACTCTCTCTCTCTCTCTCTCACACACACACACACACACTCAGGCGTCCATTTTGAGTTCGTCGACATGTTTTAGGAATATGGAAAATTCTTGGGTCTTGAATTAGTTTGTGTTCACTTCCTTCCAGCGTGGAATAACTCAGAGTTGGGAATTGGGAGGCTGAGACCAGCCCCCCTGGAACGTCTGCGGATCCGGATTAGGTCGGAAATGTTTATTTTGTTGGTATGTGATGTGTATATTTCTCCAACCGTCCGTCCATACACTTGCTGTTTTCTTTCTTTCTTTCTTTCTTTCTTTCTTTCTTTCTTTCTTTCTTCCCCTTGGACGGTCTGATGCATTGGCTTTCTGAGGGTGCTTTTGCTCGAGGCTCCATTCCTCCCCCTCCCCCCTCCCTCCACCTAGTTAGGCAAATCTGAGCAGGAAAGTGAAGCGATGCCGAAAGCAAACCTGGGCTGCTCTTCCCCACCCTTCTTCAAACAAACTTTCTTTGTGTGCATGCCTGAGTGTGTGTGTGTGTGTGTGTGTGTTATGCGCGCGCGTGTGTGATCTTTGTCAGCATGTCTCCTGCTATTGCGGCGAATGACCCTGATGTGCCTGCCGTGTAATGACTGGCTCGGAGGCTGCTGCCTCTTCCCCCCCACACACCTCACCCCCCCACCTCCCACCCATCCCCATCCCCACCCCGATCCCCCAGCCCGCGCCACCTTCCCCCGCGGCTTTCCCAGCTGAAAAGAAAGTTGGTCGGCGGGGATGAGTTTGTTGCCCGTCTCTTTAAGGAGGGACCCCGGAGCTCGGATGGCTTCGGGTTTTCAGCACCACGAACAGATGCCCAGGAAAGCTCCGCCGGCGGCTGGGCAGCTTCCAAAGGAGGCACGCGCCCCCCGCCCGCCACCCCCCCCCCCGTCCCCAATCCTCGCCCCCCTCCCCCGCCGCCCTCCCCAGCCCCCTTCCCTTCCCCCTTCCGCCTTCCAACACTCTCGAGCCTGGCCGTGCAGAAACCGACAGCGGCGGCTTAAGCCGACGTGCCTGCGATCTGCCGGATTATGCATTTCTCTCCCCCACCCCTCCCCGCTTCGACAAGCCAACTTTCCCCGGGGCTGCCCCTCTTGTCCTGATCGCCCCCTCCCTCTCTCCCTCCCTCCCTCCCTCCTTCCCACCTTCTCTTCCCCTTCCTCTGGCGGAATCAATGCCGCGATTCCTTCGGAATGCCGCAGACGTTTTTTCAGCACCCAAACTTGGGACAGCGCCTCGTCTTTTCTTTTTTTTCTTTCTTTCTGGGGGAAAAAAACATTTTTGGGGGGTGGGTGGGGGGGTGGTAACGGGGAGGGAGGGGGGGGGAGGAATGAAAAACAAATAAATAAATAATTCAGGGATCGACTTTTCGTGCCATGCTCCCCTTCCCAAAGGGAGAGGGGAGAGATGGGGGGGGGGGGAAGGAAAGGGAAAGGGTGGTGGAGGGGCTATCTAGATCGTATGTTTCGTTCGATAAAAGATCTGTATTATGAAAGATGTGCATTAGTTTCTATGCGGCGATAAGGGTATATGTCTGTCTTCCTCCCTCGTAGCTGGAAAGCATGCGGAAGTGTTTGGAAATGTTGCCCGCAGGATGAATGTTTTCAGTTCCCGGGATTAGAAATCTCAGCATTTCCACTATTCTCCTCCTCCTCCTCCTCCTTCCCCCCCCCCTCCCCGCAACCCTGATTGATCCTCGCCTAGAATTTGCCACCGCTCTCAGTTTGTAGTGGAAGCTTCCATTTTGTGACAAAGGGGGTGTTGGTTTCTTCCTAACATGGAGAAAAGTCTGCAGAGTTTTAACGCGGGGTGGGGAGGAGGAAGAGAAGGAGGAGGAGGAGGGGCTGGTGGCCCATTCATGCTAAGCATTACCATTTTGATTGCTTTGATGCCATTTTGGAGGGGTGGGGGTGGGGAGAGGAGACCCCTGTCAGCAGAGCACAAAGATAAACAAAGATATTTAATCAAACCGGATAGTTTCTTTTATGGAGTGGGGGGAGGGGAGAGAATCGTAGAAAACAAGACGGTAGCTTAGAGCTATTAGTTCTCTTTCTAGGAGGATGAAACAACGTGTTGTATTGATTTTGCACTGAGCCAAGGATTTATTTAAAACAAGGCAACAGCCTTATACCGCAAACAATGCATGTTAATGTTTTCCCGTTTGATAAGGAACGAGTTTGGCTGCCTTAAAATGGACACATATATTGGATTGCGCTTCTTTGTACGATTGCGACGGTTTCAAGGCAATTTACATTTTTTTTGATGCCGATAGTCAAAAAGAAGCAATTTTTACACGCTGTGCTGGAATTTAGATAAAGCAAAGAACTCATAGCTGGAAAAGAGAACTTGATGCAAGCTTTGGAAGTGGAAGGGACATTTTTAGCATCGTGAAATACTTCCTGGACTAAACAGTAAATTGTGGCTCTCTGCCACTCACATTACAGGCAAATACTCAATGAACAATTATAGAACAAACAACCACTACTTGGGTTGAAAAGTGTCATGTGTTACTCTCCGCTTGTTTTATTGCCAGTGGTGAAAGATAAGTCTTGAATATTTTCACATTTCCAAGCCAAGCAGCAAGCCTATCCCAGGGACAGGAGCCATCAGTTTTAAGGCTGAAGGCATGGAAATGATTGTTCTTTTTCTTGGAGGAAAGATAAAAAGCCTAATTTCCTTAATTTCCCCCTGAAAGAGGATGCTTCATATGAGCTCCATGCTGGTGTTGAATGAATGCAGAGTTTCCCTGTGAGTGGAGATTGTCAATATGGAAATATTCTGGACTGGAGGCATCCTGAAACCCATGGAGGTTGAAATCGGTTTTATTTCTCACTGACATTGTTTTTCCAAATATATATAAAAAAACATTAGATGATCTGGGGGACTGGCATGGATTTTTTTTTTAAAGCAAAAATAAAATGTCTAACTCTTGCAAAGTTCTGCAGGAAATTAAATGCCTTTACCTTACCCCACGGGACTGTCCACTCATACCTAGGGTAATATTTCTCTACTCAGCAACTTAAAGAAGTGAGGACTGCAACTCCCAGAATTCCCCCACCAGTCATGTCGGCTGGGGAATTCTGGGAGTTGAAGTCCGCACATCTTTAAGTTAATAAAGTTGAGAAACTCTGATCTGATGGCTGAATGCTTAATGCTTCAAAAAAATAAAAAACCCCACTATGATTGTAGTAATTTCTTTGCCAATAATTTATATCATTTTTTTTAAAAAAAGCTTTAAAATGTATCAAGAGATTTCATATTTTTTCCTCTCTCTCTTCTGAATGACCCACCATCTGACTTTCCTGTATAACCCTAGGCTCTAAGATTTCTCCACACAATTTTAATAAATTATGGGCAATTTCCTCTAATTCTCATTTCCCACCAAATTAAAACTGTCTTCAAACTGTCCTCTTTATCCCAACCTATTAGGAATTTGGGATGGCTCTTCAAATGTCCAAGTGTATGAAATTTATTGAACTACCTGTAACTGCCTGATTATTGCTGTTTTGAAAGTAAAGTTTGTGAGGCATGTGGCGTATTTTTCTTGCCTACCTGGTCAGGAGGCTCATTCCTTTGAAATATGTCTATGTAGGATCTAGACGTCACCCTTTGAAACCCCCACCTGTCTTCATGCCTTTCTTCTCTCGGTTGTTCTCTGAGAACCCAGCTGAGGCAGTGATCTTCCATCTTATGGTGCAGAGCTGAATATATTTTGGCCAGCTAAGCATCTATTTATAATAATTTTTGCTTAAATGTGCAACTGCCATACTTGCTTCTGATGCATCAAAAGCGTATTTTATTATTATCTGTTCACAACAATGTGAAGTCACAGCTGCCAGTTCTTTAGCTGGTGTAAGCCTTAATATGCATCACATTCTTCCCAACAACCTATCATGTGATATTGTTTCAGCATGGTATATGTGGAAACCCAAGCAGTGTGGCCTTTTGCATTTGACAGATGGAAATTTTGTCAATGCACAGATTTTCTAAGTGACATCCAAGATTTTTTAGTATGGCACCCAGTGTGCAAATAATCCCTGGTACCATTCTTGGCCAGTTTATGTCATAAGCTTTCAGCTTCCATTTTCAGATCCTGATATTTTGTGATCTTCTCCATTTGTTGTTTTCTATTCTATTCTACCATCTCCTGGTATTTCAACATCAGGTATCTTCACTTTCTTCTTTTCAACCACAATTATTATTTATTAAATTTATATGCCGCCCATCTTGCAGTTCAACGTGACTCTGGGCAATTAAATTTTGTGTGTTCGGAGCCAAGATTTTATCAGTTTCTTTTGCAAATCCACAGTATTTTAATCTGCTCATTTTTGATTACTTTTTCAACTATTTTTTTCCCAGTTATGAATGACTGATTTTTCATTATCTCCTCCCTCACAACAATGGTGTGTTGTGCCTATCCATGGCGGGAATTATAGGATGGTGATGATGTTGATGATACCTACATTTAGATTCACAGTCTAAGACTGATGATAATGGATTTCCTTTTTCATAAGCACTCAGTTTCAATCGGCAAGTTCCAGTATTTCATAATTTTTCCCAATGTTTTTTTCCTCAAT